TGCCTCCTGGACTACGTGCGGGAGAACAAGGACCACATCGGCTCCCAGGACCTGCTCAACTGGTGTGTGCAGATCGCCAAGGTAGGACAGCAACCCTGGGGGGCTCTGGGRGTCCCGGGGAGGCTGGGGACAGATGGATGTGTGCCACCTCCAGGGGATGAATTATCTGGAGGAGGTGAGGCTAGTGCACCGGGATTTGGCCGCTCGCAATGTCCTCGTCAAGAGCCCCAACCACGTCAAGATCACCGATTTTGGGCTGGCCCGGCTGCTCGACATCGACGAGACCGAGTACCACGCCGATGGTGGCAAGGTGGGCTTGGGCACTTGGGGACAGTGGTGCTCCCCTCGGTGACAGCCACCCCTTGGTCCTGCTCACCTCTCCATCCACCCCGTGCCAGGTCCCCATCAAGTGGATGGCACTGGAGTCCATCCTGCGCCGGCGCTTCACGCACCAGAGCGACGTCTGGAGCTACGGTGAGTCAGGGTGTCCCACCCCTGGGGAGCTCGGGGGTCCCGGTGCACAGCTCACCCCCACAACTGTCCCCTCCAGGTGTCACCGTGTGGGAGCTGATGACGTTTGGGGCAAAGCCGTACGATGGGATCCCAGCCCGGGAGATCCCAGACCTGCTGGAGAAGGGCGAGCGGCTGCCGCAGCCGCCCATCTGCACCATCGACGTCTACATGATCATGGTGAAATGTACGGGGAGGGGACATGGGGACACAGGGAGGGGACAGGGCGCAGTGCCACCCCGCTCCCGGCCCTGACAGCACCCTGACTGCCCCAGGCTGGATGATCGACTCCGAGTGCCGGCCCAAGTTCCGCGAGCTGGTGGCCGAGTTCTCCCGCATGGCCCGCGACCCGCAGCGCTTCGTGGTCATCCAGGTACGCGGGTCCCTGGGGGTCCTGTCCCCTCGCTGGCACCCCGGGGCGGGCACTGACCACTGTGACCCTCCCAGAATGACCTGGTGGGGCTGCCTGGCTCCATGGACAGCACCTTCTACCGGGCACTGCTGGACGAGGAGGACATGGACGACCTGGTGGATGCTGAGGAGTACCTGGTGCCTCACCACGGCTTCTTCAGCGCTGACACCTCCACCACCTACCGCAGCCGCATCTCCTCCATGCGGGTACGRGGGGAGGGCTGCAGGGAGCCCCCGGGCCTGGCACAGGCGTGGGGGAGTGACCCTGTGCCACAAAGGACCGGGATGGTCATCGGGTTGTGCTCAAGTGTCTATCTGTGTGTCCTCTCCCACACCCAGAGCACGGCAGAGTCTCCAGCCAAGATGGAGGAGGGCGAGGGTTTGGGCTCCTTCCCCTTCCCTGCCCAGGGCCTGGCAGAGGGGCTGGAGGGCCCTGTCCCAGAGGTGCCAGAGGGGGACAAGGTGGCCCTGCAGAGCCCCCCGGGCCGGGAGCCCGGGACCCTGCCCCGGTACAGCGAGGATCCCACCGGGCTGGCGGCCGAGGATGGAGAGGACCCCGAGGGTTTCACCGTCCCAGCCCCACACAGCACCATGCCAGGTAGGGAGGGCACGGCCGGACCCTTGGGGAGGTGGTGGGGGGCGTCTGCCTGCCCCATGACCCCTGGGGGGGTCCCTAATTTGTCACTCACCCTGCAGAGTACGTGAACCAGGCCGGGGAGCGTCCCCCCCGCACGCCCCCGTCCCCGCTGGACAAGCCCAAAGGGCACCAGGGCAAGAACGGGCTCATCAARGACCCCAAGAACTCCTTCCCAGGGCCCTTCGGCCACGCCGTGGAGAACCCCGAGTACCTGGCACCCCCCGGCGCCCCCACCCCCGGCCCCTTCAGCCAGGCTTTCGACAACCCCTACTACTGGAACCAGGATCCCCCCAAGGGTGGGGGTCCCGAGGGTGGCCCCGGCACGACGCCCACAGCCGAGAACCCCGAATACCTCGGCCTGGCYGGCCCCGACGCCGCGGCCGTGTAGRAAAAAMCCCCCCCAACTTCACCGAGGCAGCTCAGGGAGGGACGAGCCACAGCTGCAGGGCTGAGGGTCCGTCCCTTCTGCCCGGGGTGGCACCGGCCACGGAGGGCTGGGAGAGCCCAGGACGCTGTGGGACGGCGCAGCAGCAAAGAGTGGGGACAGAGGGGTCACCCTCGGTGGCACTGGCGGGGGTGGCACCTGGAGAGCTCGGACCCAGCACGGCCTGGAGAAGGACAGACCCTCTGCCATCCCCCWCCCCGTTCCAGGGCTGTCCCAGTGCCCGGGACACGTGGACTTGCACTGAGAGCAGCTGGACTGAGAGCAGTCCCGGCTCCTCCGGGATTCTTTGGAAGCTCCGGGATGTATATTTGATTATTGTACATTGGTTGTTTTTTCTACTCTCCTGGTCTGTTTGGTTCCTCCTTCTCGGTGGGATCCAGCTCTGCCTCCGAATGACAGGCACAGCCCTTCCCTTTCCCTTGTCTGTGTGATTCCCCCTTTTTCTGATGGATCCAGTTCCATCTCCAAAGACCAGCATGTCATAGTCCTTCTCTTTTCCCTTTTTCCCCCACCTTTTCCCTTCCTTTCCCCATCTTTCCTCTTCATTTTCCTCTTTTCCCTTCCCTTTCCTTTTTTTTCTCCTTATCCCTTTCCCTTCTTCTTTCCCTTGTTCTTTCCTGTTTTCCTTTTCCCCTTTTTCTTTCCCATTTTCCTTTCCCCCTTTTTCCCTTTTTCTTACCCATTTTCCTTTCCCCCTTTCCCTTCTTTTTTCCCCCTTTTTCTTTCCC